ACGAGGGCCACATGTGTAGCCCTGCCCCTTCACAGGTGCCCCGCCCCCTGGTCACCATCTTGGGACCAATGTCCCAATGTCTTTGGTCCTAAGACATTGGGACATTGGTCCCATGTCCCAGGGCCAGCACCAATGGGGCCCAAAGCGGGGCACAGGCTGTCAGGGGTTTCTGGAGCCAGCCTGGGCTGCACCAGCAGGGAGAGGGGGGAGCTGGCCCGGCTCCATGGAGCCCCTGCTATCTGGGACCCCTGTGCTCCTGCCCCCCCTGCTCTGGGCCCTGCCAGTGCTGGCCCTGGGACACCGGTGTGGGCCTCATGCTCCCGCTCACTCCCACTGCCTCCAGCCCCACGGTACAGGCAGGGGGCAGCATGCAGCCCCAACCCCCTGCTCCATGGCAGGTAACGAGCTGGTGCTGAGCGCGGGGGAAAAGTGGTCCTCCCCAGCCCTGTGGCTGGTGCCCCATGCTGCAGCCACTCGCAGCCCATGTGGGGTGACCTGTGCCTGCTCAGGACAGCCTTGCGCAGGCTGTGAGTGGCTGCAGCAGGGAGTGCCAGCCATGAGGCGGGTGAGGACCGCTTTTCCCCAAGCTCCTTCCCTGCCTCCCCCTTCCCCCCCACCCCTCAACCCCTTACCTGAGTTTCCCGCGCCAGTGCAGCCAGGGAGCCACATGGTCCCAGGCCAGAAGCCCCTGCTGGGGCTTCCAGCTGGGGGGGCAAGGCTGGGGGGCCCTGCTGTTGCAGGAGCCCACCGGGCTTCCCCTGAGTCCTACTGCCCCTGGTTCTTGTCATTTTTGACAGGAACCAAGGGCAGACAAATATTAATTTTCTAAATTTTTTAGGGGCCCCACAGGCTGGATAGAATGGCCTCATGGGCCGGATCTGGCCCGTGGGCCATATTTTGCCCACCCCAGTGTACACACACACACACACACACACACACACACACACAAAATGTATTTGTCATAATGTATTTGTCATATGTATTTGTCATAATGATCTTTTTCCTCCTGATTCTTCTAAGTCTCGAGAACAGCTTTTTCTATTGTTGACAGCAGTATTGCCTCTGTAGATCATGAAAGCAAAAAGAATACAACTTGATTTCAAGATGTTCTTGCATCAGTGGTTGGGTAAAATCTCTTTTCCCTGACAACCTTTGATTGCTTATGTAAATGAAAGTGAATAAATAATATAAGACATCCTATAGCCATGTTTGACCCCAGCATTCTTTCCTGCTCATGGCAGCGGGTCGGACTTGATAATCTGCTCAGATCCCTTCCGACCCTACCAACTATGAAACTATGTAAGGCTTCTATTGTGCTTTACATAATACCATTTCAGAGGACTGGGAATCAGAAAACTGATCCTGCTTCCAGCTTGAGCACTAACCAGTCAGGCTTCACTTCTGTGCTTCAATTTCCCTGTTAGTAAATGGAGATACTAATACTTCCCTTCCTGTCTAAAGAACTTTAAACCTTGCATAACAAGTGCTGTCTTGAGTGGTGTGTGTTGTTATTTGGAACCTCAAGGCTACAGGGGTTGAAAAAAGATTATTTTGCTTCAAAAGAACAGGCCTCAGCCATCTGGTTAAAGGTAGTCTCCATTAACTGTTGGGGCTATTGCATATAGTAGTTTAGATTCTCTGTGGCAAAGAACAGGTGTTTACATGCAGACTAACCAACTCCATTTAATGTTGAAGAACAAAATTTGATTTTGAATGAACTATTTTTAACCGGGCTTTAAGATGTCTCAGAGTTTCCCACTTCACAGTTTTAACTTTTATACATGTAGTGATATAAATAAAGAGTGTTGCTAGAGATTTTATACTTAAGCCAAGACTGCTAAACAATTACTTTATTGCCAAATTCAGTGTTAGCTCTTGCAAGTCTTTATGCTTAATTTAGTGTTAATAAAACAGACTGTCTTTAAAAGTGGTTTGATTATTATAACACATGTTTAGAATGGGGAAAATGCAAATTTTTTATTATATATACTGTTACTAACTTGCATTGGAAGGACTGATCCTGTTCTTCCAGCAGTCAGTGATTTTTTTTTACTTTTGTAGAAGCAGAAACAGATTATTAATGCAATTGATAGGTATGCGATTTTATCTGATGTTGTCTTATATTAATATGCAATATATCCTGCAGTCATCACTGTGGTGTCAGAGTACCTAGAAATTGCACTTCCATCAGATTAATTGATATGGTCCCATTTATTCAGGTACAAGTACCTGTATCCGATTTTGATGCGACAGCTTCATCTCAGTACAATCACAGTGATCTGGGAACTGAATCCAGAATTTTATTTTTTGCATGGGACTGTCAAGATTCTGGACTTGAATGATTTTTTGGGCGTTTGCACACACTTTGGAAAGGCTGTATGCATGGTGTAAATTGGGTAAATAGCACTATAGAGAGAATTTTTAATGCTAAAAGTCACTAGAATCCAATCAGAGGAGAAGTGATTCTTTTTAAAGTATAGGGTCAGCCAGGATGAAGAATTTCAGAGAAGAGATTGCTACTCCCTCTAAGCTGCGTGGCATGTATGGCTGCACAGGCACGCTCATGCCGTGCTGCCAGGCGTGCACACTGCTCAGCTTAAAAGGAATGCTGGTGGTAAGGGCTTTTCAGACCCCAGCAGCCCTTCCTACTCCCCCTTCTCAGCTGCTGATTGCTTCAGCGGCTGCCACAGGAGGGAGGGAAAAGAAGTCCTCCCATGCAGGCTCCCACCCCAGCCCAGGGCAGCCCCAGGGAGCTGAGGGGAATTCTTCCCCTCCTGACCTGGCAGAGCTGCTTGCCTCAGCCTCTTCAAATCCCAGGCAGCTCTAGGGAGCAGAGAGAAATTCTCCTGCTCCTCCACAGCTGGTTTTGCCTTGGCTGCTGCGAGTCTGAGGCAAAAGTAATGCAGGGGAGCAGAAGAATTTCCCTCTGCTCCCTGGGCTATCTCTGAGACTCGCAGCAACTAAATCAAGGGGTTGGGGTTGGGGAGAGGAAGAATTCCCCTCAGCAACCTGGGGCTGCCCAGGGCTGGGGAACCTTGGTTTGGGGTGGGGGAAGCCTTCCAAGGCAGGGGCTCCCCAGTGTCCCCATGCTGGGCTGCATGGGCAGGCACCTGATCGGGAGGACTTCTTCTTCCTCCCTCCTGTGCCAGTAGCTGAAGCAGTCAGGAGCTGGGAAGGGTGGGTGGGGAATTCCCTTCAGCTCCCCAGGGCTGCCTGGGTTGGGGACCCCAGGCTGAGGAAAACTGATAACTTTTGGTGTCTGTGCCTTAGGAAAGATTCAATAAAGCTTGATCGTCTGAATGTTCACTGGTGTCTATATTTGAGAATCAGATATAAAGGGAACTGGAGCAAGTTACAATGCCATGGTGACACATCATAGGCTTTTCCT